AGTCTTTCCCGTTCCACAACCAGTGAGCCTTAAAGGTCTATTGCTTTTAGATTGCTAATTTCTAACCAGCAAATCCAGCAAACAGTGTAAACGTTTAATATTTCATTTACTGAGCTTTAGTGTAACGATAAAAATTGGCTTTAACAACCCGGGCATTAGCATCCTTCCTCAAGTATCATGATCTACAAATAAACGTAGCACGGGAAAATGCAAACATTGCGTTTAAAAAATAATGCAGATCGACAATTATCCTTCAAACACTGTGGTAGAGCAGAAAGGTGTTCTTTACAGGCAACTAAGGAATAACTTCAGTTACTGTGCTAATTTAATGGTTGAAAAGTTAATCTCAAAATAACAATTAAAATGAATACCGTGATGCTGGCGTTTGCTAGATTTCCCATAACAGCACTGACAGATCGACACAAACCTGTATACGTACAACGTCTGTCCGCACCGTTATTGCGGCGACTCAGACTTGTGTTGGATGATGGGGATTGAGGTCCCCAAACTCTCAGGTACTAATAATCATAAAAATGTAAATTGACTGACCCTAACAGGTGCAATAAAACAGGAAGGTGATGGACATGCAGCAGTTGAGCACTCATCTGTATACACCCACACAGTCCTCAGGCGAGGTTTAATCAGACGAAATGAGTGAAAACACCTGGGATCAAGCGTGGTAGGGGCTTTAAATGCCAAAGGAACCGCTGCAATAAGGCAAACTTTTAAAACTTCATCCTATCCTCTTCACGACAGCCACGTTTGCATATAATCTGTCTTGAACGTTGAATTTTCGCACAATATTTGTAGCGAATGTAATGTTTTTTGAGAGCTGACACTCAAATCAAGGATTTTAGAGTGTTTCTACTAGCTTGGTTAACACCACAGTACAACACAGTGATGAGTACACACTGTAAGTGTGGTGTGACACTGTGCTTCACCAAAATATTTTAGCTCTCTGCTAAGTTGGTTTGAATAATTAATTGAAATTAATAGAAACCAATGGACGCCAACTGAAAGTACAAATCAGAACCCTTGTGTAGTTAATATGCTAATACATGCAAACTCATGCAAACTATTCCAAAAATTCGGCCTCAAGCCACAGTGTCAGCATTGTGAACCACAGAGTTAGATGTTGAGACCATTCTCTTTAATAGCTCCAGGCGCGATGCAGAAAGCTGTACATTTAAGAGACTCTGCAGGGAACTTCGTGACTTCTTTAGCTTTAGTCTACTTCACCGAGTCCAACAGCTGAGCAGTGGGAAAACCTGCTGTGGCTCAAGGATGTGGCACTTATGCCTGCATGACACTTAATCGGGGGCCACGCTATTCAACATCTAGCGTTTATGTCTGACAGACAGGTTTCACGTCAGACCAAACTGTGTATTGATTCAATAAACTGTCTATTGATTCTTAAAGGCTGAGCGTCTTCTATGCTCGCTCTCTCCCTGTCGAGTGCCGCCTTTCTCTCCCTCTCTCCGCCTCAGCTTTAGAGTTTTCCATCTTATTTGTGATGGCAGACAAAGCACTTAAAGGGTGAAGCTTTTCAGACTGAAGACTTTTGAGCAGATGTCAGAGTGCATTAGCTTTTCCACTTTATGCAAATATTGGCCCAGTTTGTCACTAAAAAGGCGTGTAGAGGACTATTTTTGCTCAATTCAAAGTGAGAAAAGTGTGTCATGACCTAGTACCACGGAGTGAAACCTTTGTGAAGTCCTGCCGGATCGCTTCCCTTATGCTATACCCTTTCTTATGTTTAAAAATGAAACGCGATTGACAGATTGGCGTGCATTTGAACTCCTCCCAGCGGAGAATCCCATAAGTAACTCCTTTTTTTTTTTTTAACAAGCGCTCAAAATGAAATGGCTTTGTAGGCTTTGTAGTCTGGAATTTTGTGTCAGACGGGGTCAATAAAAGGAGTGTTAATTCCTGTGGGTCTGAATGAAAGCTAAACGCAGTCAACAGCATCATGGAACAATTTTTAAAGGACAATATTTTTAAAACCCTCCATTAGTGCCCAGTAGTGCATCAGTCTACAGTCAAAAATAGAACATAATTTATGAAACTGTTGTTTTGTTTTTTGTTTTACACATACAGGTCATATAACATGCTACACGGAATGGTGAAACCTGACATTTCCATATATTTACATTAATACGCTAGAAATTGAACAACACATGAATCAACTTGGTTAACCAAGATATTGACCTCCTATTATTTTCTTGATTCAAACATCTGATGCACGTCATATTCAAAACCTGTCGAAATGATGATTTGATACACTGCTAATAGGATCTTTGCAATACTTTTTTCAAATGAATTAAGCATTCAGGGATATAAAAAATAATTAATTGTTTTGATCTCATTATAATCATAAGTAATTGTATTGATTTATCTCCTCTACTCTTGGGAGAATAAATGTTTACAACTGAAACTGTCTAACTGAAACTTTCAAAGGTCAAAAAGCACCTGCCAGGATAAATGTCAATTGTTTTCTAAAAGAGACAAAACAAACTTGCATCGGATATATGCTTTTTGCCGCAATCTTGTACGTATGTCTGTATTAAATGAGTTAACATTTAAGATGCATTAATTCACCATCCCATGAATGCTAGCCAGGTTCAAAGGAAACGTGAGCTGCACAATGGTCCTCCTGGATGCTGCTGCAACATGAAACATAAAGTGTCCCATTCGATGGCCCAATGAGCAAGAAACATAATAAGTGCCCTCTAAAATGCCCTTCCATTTTCAAATATATTAATATTCTATTCTCACATTTCGCTCGCGATGGAACTGCAGCGTTACAGAACGATGTGTGGTCACATGATGATTTTTTTCTCCTAATGAAAATGAACTACTTGTGTCCTTTTGTGACAATGTTGGTCTAAAATTAGCACGACTAATGATGTCACCAATGAGCCCCTCCAGTACATTTTGAGTCATTAAAAACGGTGTTACCAAAGTATTGCATGAATTAATTAACTGTGTTCTCAAAGCAACACCTCTTCAACATCAAGTCAATTCAGAGGCGTTTCATTTACTTTACTTAATTGGGTACAGTTTTTGCTATTTATGTACAGTTTGTCTTCAACGCTAAAAACAAACATGCAATATAGTTGTGCCCTGAAGGCGTGCGCGCTGTCGCTCGGTTACAAAGGTAAACCCAACTCTCAATAATGCCCGTGTGTTGTGTTCGCTTTTGTTTCCCCACCAACACTTTTCATCCAAGTGGAACCATCTCCCACAGCATTTGGTGGAGGTGGAAGACAAGCTCTTAATCGGCTGTGTTATTGAGTTATTGAATTAAAAGCTTAAGTGCTCAGGGTGAGCATGTCAATTTTGCACAACTGAACGGTGCACTACTCATTCCTTTTTCATCTGAATAGATCATTTGTGTACGTAGAATGTAAAAGAATGGAGGTATTACACAGATCGCTTTCATTGTCTGTAATTCCCTTTCGCTGTGACTGAAATCATTGTGAGAGACAAGTCATATTCATTCACCGCTGCATGCTGGTCCGTAATCTGCATTCAGCTCCCCTCAACAGCACTTGCATCTGTACTATGCCGCAGTGTTGATTAAGAAAGGGCTTGGTTCAAAGCAAACGTTGCATAATTACGGTAGAAGTGGAAGTTTAACCTGTTTTACCGCCTCGTGATGTAAAACATTAATGTAGAGTTAAAAAACGGGAAAAAAGAGTGTTGCGGCAAACGGTTCAACCCTTTTCTACTTGACATTCTGCTCACCTGTCTTCATCCCCCCGTGCTCCGATACCCTGGGACTGATACAGATAAAATGATGTGATGTTTCTGTCTGTATTTCAATGGGATGAGTTGCTGTGACCCACGCAATCTCCCTCTCAAAGAGTATTTCAACTTATGCAGATGAGCTCATCAGAGCTGCCTGCTGAGATGAGACATCTAGCTCTGGAATTGTGTCAATACCGCCACCAAAACAAATGCAAATCAAAATCCAAATTAATGTGTTTTCCCTGAGGAGAAACCGAGTCGTACTTATAGTCGGCTCTCAGTAGATGACAGGATTCTGTTATCCGGAGCTCATTCTCAAAGCGCTCACCGCGCCGGGGTACAAGAGTCAGTGTCTCCAGATGGAGAAACTAAAAAGAAAAAAAAAGATTTGGCGTGATTATTTTACAGACGTTAAATTGAAGACACTTTTCAGTATAGCGATCAATGCCGCTAAACGCGCATCAATGTTTTTTCTTAATCTTTCTATATATACTATGTTGAGCAGATGCTAGATGTTTTAAACCATAATAATCTGGTTAAAGCTAAAATGATATCCATGTCCTGCTGCTTAAAGCAATAGTAGGCAGCCTAGTTTTAAAAAACAGGTCAGATTCGGTGGGAAATAAGCAAGTGGATGGATTAAAGCGGGTTAGGCTGTAATATGTCTTTAGACTCTGGCCCTGTGTCACTACACCCACCCTTTCTGCATTTGATTGAATATTAAACAGTGCACAATGCATACAGTATAACAGCATATGTGGAAATGTCTTCAGTGAATAATTCCTTGCTGAAATTCTGCAGAGGAATGTTTCTCTTATTTCGGTCTTGTCATTTGTCAGACACATTCATAAATAAACCTATAAACACAAGTAGACATTGTAGACACTGACAACGACTCTGGTGACTTTTCACTTGAGAGTACAAAAACGTGAGCAGGGTTTCCATCTGCACGTTAAGTTGCATTATGAAAGCATTGAGCAGAGGAAGTCAACTGGTGTTTTTCTGGGTGCACTAATATGCCGTGCCTGATTTTATTTGTGTTTTGAATATAAATAGCCATGTAAAACGTTGAGTGTGTTTTTTCTCATTTTTAAAGTTTCACCTAAGAATCTAGACTACTGCTAGATAACACCCACTGCAACACCGAATAGCTAAATATTCCATATTTGCAGACACATGTATTAAGGACCTTAAACGCACTTCTCTCACAGCTCCGAAAGTTGTCACTAGTCAAAAAGAATTGCCTTCCGTGCACACAGTGTATACAAATTTAATAAAATACAGAACACGTACAGTAGCCCACATTCACGTGTAAGCTCAGCTTATTTTCACATAAACTGCAGAGGACAACAATAAAATTACAAATACATTCTTAAAAAACAGTTTCATCGGAACCTCAAATGGTTTTATGAAAAGGGACATTCCCCGTTGCACCACCATTAACAGTTCATAAGACACTTCACTTTTGTATTTAACGTCACTGATATGTATTTCAGTTGCCTGTGATATTCAAAGAGATGTTCCTTATACACTAAATGGAGACAGGAAGCTTCACCGTACAAAAGCAGACAGGACTCAATAGTTTAACAGTAGCAATTTTTTTTTTCACAGCCTCACAAAATTGGAGCTTGAAATGGGTCAAATACAGACATCTAGATTGACAGGTACAGTACACCATGGAAACACTTGAAGTCAGGTAAGCACTGATTTTCTCCCCGAACCTTCACAGCAGTCAAAGACACATATTTCACCTAAACACAACAGGTCACAAACTAAAAGAAAACAAACAAACAGACAAAGCAGATGGTTTTTGGTTATACAATGCGTGTCTGGACCCCCGTGTGGGTCAAAATAAATCACCTCTTGGTCATTAACCTGTAATATTATCATCATACTCCTGGCAACCGAGAGAGCGGGTGGGGATCACCTGATCTGTCAGTTACCAGAGTCCCGCGGGTCGAGAGTGCAGTCGGACCCCCCGCACTCCTGGCTGATGACAGAGCTGTGGAGGAGGCTGCTTGACAGGGACTTGGGCCTGAGCTCGCGGGTCAGGTAGGGGGTCTCCTCCATTTCGGTGTGCAGTGGGGAGCACTGGCCATCTGGTGGGCCGTAGGCACTGCTGTCTGAACCGCCCTCCCTCTCTTCTTTGGACTCGCGGTTGGCCAAGTCCGGGGGCACACTTCCACTACTACTCTTGGTGGGACTGCTGGACACCGACGGACTCTCCTGCAGAGGGGGGCTCAGCGCGCGCTGCGATTTTAAGTAAGGTTTGACGTTGGCCACAAGGATTGTACTGTCCCGCTGCTCTTTTCCAAACGTGCTGAGGGTTTTTCTGCTGCCGCAGCTGATGGTGCCATAAATCTCTGTCTCTACCATGGCATCCATTCCCACGGGGATGAAAAGGTTGGTGCGATTATCGGCGCTGTCTGCTTGGCTTCCTACCCGTAACTTTGGCATCCAGCATCTGTCAGAATGTCCCAGTGCACGACATTCGTCGGTGCAGTGGACTGATTTGTCTTGCTCTGCAAAAACAGTTAAACATTTGTTATTGGGACCCGCTGTGGCAAGAATAAACAACCTAGAAGAAAATGCGGATGACATTTTGAAGGATGAGCAACAGTAGTGAAACACTCGAACAAACCCATATCTTTCTTGATAGAAGTTATTTAGTATGCATGACTAGAATTTTCCAAAATTAAATAAAAACCAGCAGCCTGCAACAAGTATGCAGGAGTCATGCTGATTTTGCTCTTCTGTTCCAGATATCCCAAACGATGCAGCCTTAAAATGGCGAGTCATATACAGTGTGTCATGCTGGTCAATGTAGTAGATGTGTGATTCAATGTATCCGTGGAACCTTTTCCCTCGGCTATTCTCAGCAACGCGTGTAGGCGTTCCTTGGAAACTATCATCTGGTGCAGAGGAAGTGATTTGTTGTTCATTTACATTTCCAGCAGCAGTTTTAGTCAAATACACATGAAAACAACTGTGAAATTTGCATAAGCAGTGAGATTCATCATTTCTGATCGTAAGTTGGAGAGAAAGTCTGTAGTTAAAATGATCTAATATTGATAAAACTTTACATTTTTGTATATTTCACAAACAGAGATGGGAATTTCTAGGTGTTCATTTGGGGTATTCAGAAATCCGGTGAGAATCAGATCAATATCTAAATCTCGGGAAATCCATTTGTGTCCCAAACACTCATTAGTTTGACCTTTGGTTATTGTTCTAATTACTGGTGCATACATCAGCAGCTCATTTGCATTCCATGCCAATTTTTCATTTCACTTTTTATTAATGGACCTAAATTGTGACCCGTCCTTGCCGAGAGAGGACTATATTTACCACAAACTGCGTTTCTTTCTTGTAGCAAGAAATACAAACTGTGTGTGGAAACATGAAGACATGAAAATCATAAAACTGAGTCTAATTGTTTATATCTGGATGAGCTTTTGTGAAGAATAATTGTCATTTAACAATGCAGCCCATGATTGTAAGTATTAACTCGGTGTCACTGGATTGACACTTTGTCATAGAATTTTCAAATCGAGAGGGCTGCTCGATGCAAAGACACATTCAACCTTTCCTTCTTGGTAACGTTTTGTTGATTGCAGCGCTTCTCTGATTATTCCGGGCCTCTAGTAGACTTGAGCTGCAGGAGTCGATGCTGAAAACCGAGCCAAAGGCCACAGGACTGTGCAGCGCGGACTGATTGTTTATTGGTGTCAGCGCAAAAGAGTGGAGAGAAGACCAAAGCTCTACCTTTGAGCCGCAACTCAGTCTTTTACGTTTCATATCACATTTGAACATGAAATGCGCAGAACTACACACGGAATGAACCAATTTCATGGTGACGGTGTCATTTTTTCTTTAGCCATTACACAACGCTATCAAAATTGATTTGGCAATGATGCATAGAGGTATTTTGCATGTAGACGCATGAAAGGACATGTCGGATGTGGTTGTGTAAAATGATAGTAAATGGTAGTTTACCTTCATTTTTTAAATGTATGTAAATGAAAGCAACATTTTTACAAGATAAAGTACAAATGGCTAACCCCTGTTGTTCTGATTTAACTTGACATCAATACATGGGTTCTCTTGACAGTGATGGCAAGTTCTCATTGGATCCTTTCAAATGAAAAAGGGAAATACAGACAAATAAAGGACAATAAACACCACATCCGCATCTGTTCTTGATCAAATGTTATGGCAATAAAATAGAGGTTCTCGGCCACATCTTGTTTCTCTTCTTTTACATCTTGAATAATTCCAAAATATCAAACTTTATTTAGAGGATTACCACAACATGGCTTGATTCTGATTCTGTTCTATTAATAAGGCTTCATATTATGCTGTAAATTAAACAATTAAACGTATTTCTAAACATAACCCTGACGAGGACGAGAATAACAGCCTGGAGTAAAGGAAAGCTCCACAGGACACAGCTCTTCCTGGGTGAGGTGGGGAGCTCCTCTTGTTCGATGGCATAAGTACCTTCCCTGCACGCAAGCCTTGGCCAATGTGCTGGAAGGAGGTTCTAACAACTACAACCAAAAAAAGAGATGTGCAACCCCCAAGAGACGTGAAAACCAACACAATGTGGCAAACATGCAAGGCAAGCTCATCCGCAAAGAGCCGCCACTATCACATGCTGCTGCCGAGGGCCATCACACACAATCACTTGCAGTAATTTGATGACTGAAAAGAGATTGAATAAGTTAAATAGGGCTCTTAATTTTACACCATAACTGTTTTGGAAATTTACCAAAGAATGCTTACATTAGGAAATTTAAAAGGAAATGCCAATACATATGTATCACATATGTCCTAAATTGGCTACATTAATTTATTTTATGAGATAATAAAAAATGTATATTTGCATATTACAGTTTTTTTAAATTGCTCAAACGATTTCTGAAACTAATGCTTTTTTTGACGGAACTCTACACTCAGATAAGATATCTGGCATCGCTTGCAAATCCTACTTTCCCAACTATTTAAATGGTTCTGAAAATATTAATTTTGCATCACATTAAACGCGCCAAAACACATTTCAACGAAACGTTGATGAGCGAAGTATAAACCGCTATTATCTTTAGCATTTTGAATTAAATTAAGCTGTAAATAAACACAATAATGAATGGGTAAACTAATAAATGTGTATATTTCCACTATCGTGTACTAAACAATATCAGACAAAGGTACTATTGGGAGACACTGCAGGGGAAAACATTGCCTGTCATGCACTAGCCAATTTTGAGATTGGGGGCTATTTTGTTTCCGTAACAAGTCTTTTCTCAGACTAGTGGGAAAAAAATAAAATATCCCCAAAACACATCTCGCTGTTCATTTTACTAACCTCCTTTCTTATGTTGGAGGTATCATGTGCTATAAATCTAGTTTATTAAATTAAATTAGATTGCAATACAAATACAATGTATGTCAATAAAGTCTCAATAGCTTTAGAGGAGTCTGTTTCTTAGTTTGTAGTATGTCGGTCTGCAGGGAAACAAACCACACACATAACTACAAGTTTGTACGAGCAATTTCTGAAATCTGTTCATATTTCCCTTTTATCATGTAACATATTATGCAAACTTGCATTGTTAAATTCTTACCAAAATATTCTGGTGCTATTTCTGTCAGTACCAAGACAGACAGAAAAAACAGAGTTCAAAATGCATTTTACATCAAACAGGAGAACTAAATAAAGGCTTTGATATGGCAAAACCTCAAATGTAGATCCTGCATATTATAACTGGTACGCTTTGAAGCAACACTCCGGATTACAGCTCTATTTACAGTGCCTTTGTGGTTCTATGTGTCTTTTCCTAAACGCCATATTTTGCGTCCCGGATACATGAGGCCAGAACAATAAGCATAAGCATAAGCGAGGAGAAGCAGGTAGATACTAAATTGGTTTCCATGAAACCCCGCAAACAAGCTTGCAGACGATGCTGATTTAAGGTGATGTAAGTGCTTAAAAGGTTAAGAAAAAACACAAGAAATGTATTTATGCCACTGTGCTGTTTGTCGCATTATAACCAGGAGCATTCCAAAGATTATGTCTGAATGTTTGCACTAAATAGATACAGACTTTTGTTTCCTGTCATAATGACGTCTTTGTGATAGCATTATGTTGTTTATGCAAACAAAAAATAAATGTATAAATGATTCCATGTATCATTATTGGTAGTTTCAAGCCTAACTCTAACCCATCATTTCTATTATTTTAAAATAAAACGCAGACGCAAGTTGATCAGGTTGCTTTCATCTGGCAAAGTCTTTACGTTTCCCTTTTTTGTTTTATCACTGAATAAAAAGGTTTCAATGGTAGCTCTGAAATGACAGTTATATAACGGCTTTATTGAGTACACTGCATTTACATACTCACATATTGGAATCATGACGAAGTGAAATAAAAAAGCTGGGATCTTACAGGCACCTGTGAGCGAAACACTATACCATAATCTCAAAAAAACAAAGAAACTGCCAGCCCATTATAAATAGAACCAGAGAGAGCGTAACAACATACCCAGTGTGCATCTGGTGTCTGTGAAAATGATAAATATTCAGAGTGCATGATAGTGGAAGCTGCACAGGTGCATATATTACCTGTATCAAAGCAGCCAGGAGACTAGAGGGATGGTAAAGGTAAAGACATAAAAGCAATACTACTTAACCCTCAAGCTTTTGTGTTGGTGCATTTGGAACTAAAATTCTGCGGCGTCTCCATTTTGGATAATAGTGCTATCTTGTCAGTATCTGCAAAACATTGGCTTTGCAGCTCAATAAATGTATCTGTATGTGTGTGTGAGGGAGAGCGAGAGACAAAGGAGTGCGTGGGTTCGGGGGTGATGTTTTGTGTGATCAGGTCGAAGGCATAACGCGTGAAGTAGATCCCCCATCTTGTACTCAGCAGACAGTGACACCATTTAATGTTCACCTGGCCAACCCCCTTAAGAGAGAGCACCATTTAAACTTTCCATTAGTTTTATTTAAACTGCATTTCCCACACGCAAACAGGAAAGACATTAGCAAAACATACCAATGTTAAAAAGCTGTGCCCCACTTCTTTACATTTTTCTTATCTCACGAATGCAGGTCTATAAATTAACTGACATTCCAAGCAAGCGACGGCGCTGCGAATGCAAATATTCAGTCGTGCGTGTACAAAACATCTCTTTCAATATCTATCTGTCTATATGATTGGTCTTAGAACTGTCGCCAAATCAGATTCAGAAATGTGCAGCAAAAAATTGTGATTGAATTTACACCTCCCACAGAGGCAAGTTTGGTCTGCCATAATTCCTCTCAGCACACACACACACACACACACAAACACAAATGCACACAAGTGAGATAGAGAAAGAGAGAGAGAGATACACACATCCTTCTGGCAGCCACAACAGTGTTTCCATCTCTGCCCTCCTGAGCATGCCACAAACAAACAGTTCACAGCAATGTAAATGGTGTGGAAAGTACTGCATAGGGGACCTGATGACCAGAGCCATTCTGTTGCAAGGCTCGGCAAAAGGAAATGAGAAACACTCAAGTTTCCCATTATTTTTTATCTCACCATTGAGAGTTGATTTCATTTTTTTCAGTTTATATCCACAATATCTAAATATATCAGTCCCTATCAGGTCAGCCAGGTTGCAACGGATTGACTATCATCTATGATTATACTCCTGGCAGCGTGGATCATTTCAGATTTGGGAAATACATTTCAACATTTCTATTCTCAGTTGGAAAACAAAAGCTCCTCTAAAAACAGAGAACACGGCTCAAAACCGATAATAACTGAGAAAATCTCTCCAAGCAAAGGGTGGAAACACTGTCATGTTGCACCAGAAATACCTGTCATTTTGCACTGCTAGTGTCTATCATGCTTTGTTGTCTCTGTCGTGTTATTCAAGACATTCATGCGGCGAACCTGTGCTCAAATAATGGCGTGATCAAAAGAGACACAGGCGGAGGTACACTTTGCCATGCATATGAGCTCGTTTGATGGTAAAATCAGACACAAGATGTTTAAACATTCCACCTTCAGCCAGTGGACTCTTTTATCCTTTTAAACTAACGTCTACCTTCCACTCTGTTGCCTTCGTGTCATCTTTGCAACACACCTCAGGCTGTCTGCAATGTTGAGCGGTACAGAGTAACACTACCTGCATCTAATAAGGGTGTGGATTTACATCTTCTGTGTTTGATGTCTGTCTGCTTTGTACCAAGAAGATGGTCGACCTCGACACACACCGGTGGGCTGCATCTTCTCATTGCACTAAGTATCAAAATGTGCAGTAGCTTTCTAGAGTAAGTTAGGCATCTTCAAGATGTCAGGAAGAGAGTGCATCCACTCACCCTGCTCAAAAGGCTGGCCATTAACTGCTGTTGCTTTCATCTTGAGGGCCTCCCTAGCAGCCGCGTCGCAGTGTGAGCCTCTATTAGTATCCTGGTCACTGTCAGCCTGGTCACTATCACCATGGCCACTGTCTCGGAGGCTTGCTCGTTCTGCATCCTTAAATGTTGAGCTGCAGCAGAATGGAAGGGTAGAAAAAAAAAAAAAGAAACATGAGTTGCCATTACCTCTGTGGGAGCGTTCCTGCGTGATAGCCTCAGTCAGCTGGCTTGATACGGAGATGAAGAAGCTAAATGAACTGGTCAGAAAGCTTTCGGAGAGAGCTCTTACCTTTGAACAAATGGCTGCCTGCTGCCAGCGTAATTGGGCTCTGAGGGGAAATTTTCTGTCTGGAAATGAGAGGAAAAATAAAATTCTGCATTGGCCGCGTTAAAACTGTCACGCATTTTTCAACAAGCGTTGACATCACACTAAGAAACAAAAAACGAAATGTCCTTAAATTCTAATATATTTATTACAACGCTTGAAAGATGTCAATAGAAGCCATTGAGCACCTGCCAGTGATGATGACATTTTAGGAACAAATCTCCATTGTGACCATATGTGCCGCCTTGGCAGGGCAAAGGAGAAAAGCATTAGCCACTGTCATCGGCATCCTTTCTCTCTATCTTGAGAATAATGTGTTTGTGTTGATCACACCCACATACGCTAGCGACTGGTGACAGCGCCAGGCCTTGTCATCTGCGTTATCATCTCCAAATGAGACTGTCTGTGAGACTGTCCTAGATATTTACATCATTTACAACGGATAATTCTGCTGTGCTAAACAGCACCACGAGCACGCGCTGTCAAATTAGCATGTTCGCCGGCTCCCTGCGCACAGGCCTCAGCCATCTCCACAGGGCGAGGCTGCGCCCTAATAATGGCCTCCTCGCGCCAACTCCTGATGCGGATGGGTGGGTCTGGCCCGTATTTGTGGGGAGCAAAAAAATGCGATTGTGAGGTTATGCTGGGTGCATCTAGCTGTCTGATGCACAATGGTTCAGTAATGTGATCGGACAAGCTGCTCAAACACCTGTCCGATCCTACATTTCAGGCAGGGTTTGGTTTTGCGCTCTAGAGCAGTGAATCCGGCAGGGTCACAGCAGCCTTGTTCAAGACTCGCGCTGTTTGCACGTCTAACTGAGAGGACTTTCTGATTATGCGGGCCACCTGTACCATTTTGCAAGAGAGGACTCGGAGCAATTTCCAAAATGATTCCAGGTTACTCAAACGCAGAGAGAATAAGGCATCTCAAGTAAAAACCATTACTTATAATAGCCATTGAGAACACAGGAAAACCTTCAAACACTAACTTTGATACGAGAATATTTCATTGTGACCTATAACGGGGAAAGAAAAAGTGATAATAAGGATGTCTGCACACAGTGACAGAGTTTCGCTTTTTTAGTCGATTACTTTTCTTTTGTCAGATTTGTATGGCAAAGCAGATAAGCAAGAATAAAGGGTAGATAAAGAATACGGTGCAGCGTCCTCCTTACCTGTATCACCGACATCCTATTCGCTGGAGTGTCTGCGCTAAGCCCGGCAAAGCTGGAGTGGCAACCTGCCCTGGGGACCGTCAGGCTGTTTGGGGTGGTTTTCAGGTACATGACCTCTGACCTGGGCAGTGTGAGCGGCAGAGGACTCTGGTAGTCAAAACATATTGGTGAAGTGATGAGAGAAGGACTGCTCACCACGTTCATCCGGCTCGCAGAATCTCTCTCCTCCATCTCACTCTGCACCAGCATGATGTCACTCTTGTTGATCCTTTTCTTTTTCCCTTTCCCCACTGGAGGATTGGAGTACTCAGCCATGCGGCAGTTATAATTCCCAGTCTCCTTATCTTGATGTTTGGACTTGACGGCAATGGCGGTCATGACTGCTAAGAGCATGACGGAGATAATGCAGAGGGTAACGATGAGGGGCAGGGATACATCCCAGTGCTGCTGCTCCCCGCCCGCGCTGGAGCCCCCTCCCGCTGCCGTCTCCGTGTTCGCCTTAACGATGAGCTTAGCCACGGCAGATAAGGGGGGCTTGCCATGGTCAGTTACCTTCACCACCAGCTCAACCACTGGGGTGACCTCTTCCCAAAGAGCATGAGCGGTTCTGACCTCCCCTCCCACCGGATCCATCTCAAACAGGTGATCGTCATTTCCCTCTGTGATTTCATAGGTCAAATGTCCACTTTCTCCATGGTCATGGTCCACCGCTTTCACTGTGGCCACAATGTATCCAATACCAACGTTTCTAGGCACGGGGATTTCGGCTGTATCATTCTGCAGCAGGGGTAAGATGATGACTGGGAGATTGTCGTTGACGTCAAGGACGTTGACCTTAACGATAGAAGTGCTTTCCATGTGAGGGGATCCTCCGTCTTTAGCTTGAACTTTGAACTCAAAGGATTTTGTTTGCTCGTAGTTGAAAGAGCGTGAGGCATATATGGCTCCGTTGGTGGGGTTGACAGATACATACGTATAAACGGAAACGTCCCCTATGTGGGATGGCAGAATGGAGTACGACACCGTTCCATTTCGCCCTACGTCTGGGTCGTGGGCCAGAACAGAGCCCAGATATTCCCCGGGGATGTTGTTCTCAGGCACCTGTAGCACATACACTGTCTTTGTAAAACGTGGTGCATTGTCATTCTCATCCAAGATTTTCACAGTAAACGACTTTGTGTAGTTCAAAGACGGGATCCCGTTGTCTCTCGCCACTATCGTCACGTTGTATTCGTCTTTCATTTCCCTGTCCAGGGGTCTGTCCGTGAGGAGCGTGTAGAAATTATCGTTGTTCTCCTGCAGCCTGAAGGGTACATTTCCCAGCACCCTGCACTGAAGTTGACCATTTCGGCCAGAGTCCTTATCAGTCACTCTCACCAGCGCTATGACAGATTCTGGAGGTGCTGCCTCGCTGATGGCTCCCTGCCGGACGGAGACAAAACTTATTACCGGCGAATTGTCATTTTTGTCAAGCACTTTGACAGTTATTTTGCAGTGGCCTGGTATTGGGTTGGGGCCGAGGTCTTTAGCTTGAACATCAAACTCTATGATTGGATTCTCCTCATAGTCAATTTCTCCATGGACCTTGATGATGCCAGTATTGGAGTCAATGGAGAACAAGTCCTGGATTCTCTCGGATGCATATCCGGTGAAGGAATAGACTACCTGCCCGTTGCTCCCCTCGTCTTGGTCAGTGGCATTTAAATCTATGAGCACTTTTCCTGGGGAAGAATTCTCGGGAATCTCAATCACATAAGAGGATTTCTCAAACACCGGGCTGTTGTCATTCGAATCAGTCACTCTGACGTTGATTTGCATGGAGCCTGATCTTGGATACTCCCCGCCATCAATTGCTGTGAGGAGGAGGGTGTGATGACTCTGATCCTCCCTATCCAGAGGTCTCTGAACCACCAGCTCTGGATATATAGTCCCATCGCCCCTCACTTTTAAATCCAAAGAAAACGTATTGTAATCATCTCTCGTGACCTGATAGGTCTTTATCCCATTTTCTCCAGAATCCGAGTCATGTGCAATGGTGAGGGGGAAGCGTGTCCCAGCAGCTGCATTTTCTGAAATATCGATATTAACGTGATCTGAAGGAAAACTGGGCGAGTTGTCATTTATGTCCTGTATATCAATCTTGATCATGCAAATCTCCTTGTCATTGGCAAACACCTCCATGGAGAGCTGGCACTTTGGGTTGCGCCTGCATAACGTTTCCCTGTCAATCCTTTGTTTAGTGAAGATTAGTCCACTCTCCGGGTCAACATCCACCAGATGTGGAGCAGAATTCTCCAGTACTCTAAAGTTCGATTTTTTTCCTCTCTCCATGGTCCCATAACCGGCATCTTTTGCTATATTACCTATAACAGTGCCGGGTCCTTGCTCCTCCGGAACAGAATAATTCAGATTTTTCAATGTCAGGGCTTGAACCCACAGCAAAAAGAAAATGGGTACAGAGAGACGCATCCCTTCAACTGGATATGCGGTACAGGCAGACCGGAAAAAAAGAAAATCCTCGTTGACTTTCAACCTGTTGATTACGGCAAACCTAGAGGAATAAACCCAAACCCAAACCGTGTGGTCGTTGCCAATCCCAAACTATTCGGCTATTTATCCGAGGTGTGTATGCTTATTTCCTTTTAAATCTCCTTTTAAACCTCTTTCACATGCCACTCGGCTGCGATGAACACTTTCTGTAAACAAAGATGACCGCCCGACGACACCTCGTGCATGAATAAAAGATCAAATTCAACATAGTGGACGAGAAAATGCTTTGTTTTTCCTCACGGGGGTGGATGGGGGCGTGGGTGTGGGGTGGTGGTGGTGGTGGGGGGCTTAATGAATAATCGATGACTATAAAGTATTAATATTCCCTACTGCATCCAAGGTTAAAGCGTTTGAATCTCCGTAGTGAAGGTTAGACCGTAGCCCCTTTTTTTTAAAAGAAAAGCGCATTGCCCTCATGCGACATCTGCACCTTATGGGCTACAGCGAATACTGACATGCCCGTTGGAAACGCAGCATGCCCGATGTCACCATTCACGATGCATTCACTTTTTCTCCGGTGCGGCACACTGTTGCATACGGGCTGTGCTCTCGCCGCAGACGCAGGCTATACCCATAACACAAAGTGGAATAAAAGCAACCACACAGAGCCGCGAGTCGCGTCCAACCTTTTCTCTCTTCTTGTTTTTTTTTTTTTTTGCGTTCCCGTCATTCAAAGAGCATCAGAGTCCAGCGCGGCTGCGACTTTTGCCCGATGGTTTTCCAATAATCAGTCCGGTAATCCCATAATCCAGTCCAATTGGACCCGGCGAGGTTGTATCCTTCATTCGGACAATGCACATCTGCACTGGCCGCCAACCAACCAACCTCCCTCCCCCTCCGGTAACGTTTGCAGGGGGTGAAGAAAATGAATTTGAAAAAAAAAACGCGAAAAAGGAGATTTCAGACGAATCTCTCTCTCTTTTTGTTCTTCCTTCCTGCGCTCAGTTCCCTCCGCGTCAACTGTTGAAACCTGCTCCCTTCGCAATGAGGTCTGACCGGAATCCTCTCGACGCCTTTACAACCGACTCCGGTGTGTTTCTTGGTGCATTTAACATCGCTTCTGATCGTCTTCCAGCAAATGAGTGAGCAGTGACAGATCTCGCCTTGGGGGGAGTTTCTCCAATAGGTCTGGGGAAGATCGCATGAAGAATGGCTGTTGTAGTGCTACGTGATTCAGTTACTGATGTGTGCGCGCACACACAAGCAGCACGCACGCACCACAGCGCGGGAACGTGCCCGTGGATGTGACTCCTAATACGTGTGGATGTGAACTATGGGGATTATGAATAGATCGACGAAATGTGTCCGGGCGCGATGTAAGCGAAGGACTCGACAAGTGGTCTTTCTGGGGGGGGGGGATACCTTGGGAAAACGTGGTGTGGAAATTGTCAAATTAAAGCTGACAAAATCGTAAAATGTGCTGTTTCTCCCACGTCCCCTCAGATTGCTGTGCTCCCTTAAGTGGATATTCAGAACTAGATATTCTGATCAATAGTTGAAGATGTGTCTCCTGCCACAAGATAAAATAAAAGACAGATTGAGGGGCGTCTTCGGGATAATCTGTGTAAAGGACGTAGGAGAATTACTTATGCTTCTTGAAAGAAAACAAGGCTTATTTCGCAGCTCAAATATCACAGCTGTTGGTGTAACCTGCCTTCTGCAGCTATCGCACTCGTCCTCAATGGCCTATCCGTCTCATATTGAAAAGACGGATTGACATTTAGTTCACTCAACATTTCAGCAATATGGCATTTGCATTTTTTGGTCTCAGTTGACCAGATCTTGGTGACACGCGGGGCTCCTTGGGGACGCATGCAGGAGAGTAATTCGGACAGGAAGCAGTGTCAACATCAGGGCGAGCTCGCTGTGGCCCGGTTCCTCATTTAATTCAATGTGGCTCAGGATCTAAATCAACCTTGAGTTGTCCCTGGGTTCATTTCTTTTGTGTGAAACATTGCTGCTTTCCTCCTTCGGGGAGCATCAACTTTGCCTGGCCAGGGTGCAGCCTGCATAAATTGTCCATTTCTGCAGGTAAGAGATAAGGACAACAAAGGGGAACTAATTATCATTCACTCTATGTTAAAACCCCAGGAAAGGACGACTATTGACAATTGTGTCCGCATTGTCACAGTCGTACCATTTAATGTGATCTGAACCCTGAATGAAAGGTCGGTTCATATACATAATATATTGGCTGTATTCTAACATGTGGCTTTGCTGCCTTGTTTATATGCAGAAGCTGACGACTTTGTCATGGATAAGTTCCACTAATGAGACCACAGCACCGGCCCTGGAATGAACCGCCAATCTCTGCTACTTTGTTGGCAGTAAGAATACACGGATGCATCGGTTTCCTTCGTGACGAATTGGTTTCTGCTTGAAAGCACATTATTTTGTTGGTGTAAAATCCTACTTGTTGTAATTCCACAGAGGTTGAATGACAAAAAGGCAAATGCTCATTTAAGCATACTCGCAATATCTTGGCATTCCTTTCGTGTGATTTACTTGGATGATTAGAAGTGAGATTAACCTGTTTGTACCGTTGTTTTTTTTTCAACCCAATGCCGGTTGCAGAGCACCGGAATACTGAGTGAGTGTGATGAGCAACGCAAGTGAAATAAATCAAAGAGAGAACAAAAAAAAGAATCGTCCAAGTGACATTGTAGTCAAACAGGATCCTAAGAACATTGTCTCAAACAGGAGATGGGGAAATAATGTATATATTTTTCTACCCAGTTTCTTAAAGCTCAGATTGCCCACAACGGTTTGGCTCTTCATGTCTGGATGTTGAGAGATCCTCCTCTGAAACTTCTGCAGCCAGCCTTCCCACTAAAGAAAAAATGAAATTGGCTGTTCAGAAAATTGAAGAGTTATATTTGAAAAACCCATGGCAGGTTTTTCAGAAGAAGTGAATAATCAACAGAATGTAATGACACTTATTTGGTTGGGTGTACGTATTAGGGCGGTGCCAGGATGCTACATCTTGAAAGCGCAGCAGATAAGGCTGAAATGCTAAAGTATCACAAGGGACAGGAGGGGAAATGTTCATTTTTTTCAAGGTAGCCAAAGTTCTGCAGATGTCTAGCAATAGAATAGGTTTTTCAGTTCAGTATGGTGATATTGTATTGTAAACCAACTATGTACATAACAAGTACAGTATGGCCTGAATCAAAGCCTTTATTTTCCAAAACATATTTTTGTGTCACACTGTAAACCTTGTCTCCATAATATCATGTAAATTGGATTAATAGAGAACAGGACTAATGTCATCACGTCTCCCTTTGTTGAATACCAGCCACAGTCCTTTGTTGCGTATCATTCCTTGTGTTATCCTTTGTTGCTGTCTCTGCTGTCAACTACAGCATGAATACAAAGATGTGTAAAAAATAAACAGAATAGAAATAATGAAATGTGTTTTCCTCATCGGTTTTATTCACACAGTGTGACCAGAATTTGGCCTGGAACCATCATTTCTGCCTTTCTATAGGATGACTCTCTTTATGTGGGTCCAGCACGGAGAGACTGACCCGACTGTGCGTGCAACAAAAGGAGCCTTAGTCATCTCACAAGCTGTGTTATCATGATACATTTTGAGAATATATCTTTTTATTCATAAAGACCAGCTGTGGATTTGCATGCAAATGCAACATTTCATTTCAGAATCAAAACTCAGGAGTCGATCCTTGCTCTCCAGAGCGCGGAGGGCCAGGAGTGGATGTTTTTGCTTTTGATTTGTAGAGAAAGTCTCTGGGGCTCCAATAGCGGAGTCAACCTTCTGCCAAATTCTCGAAACTGAAAGTCTGACTTGAAAGCCTTTCGGATTGTTATAGCCTCCAGTGGAGTTTCTTTTGGTGGTCGGTAAGATGGGTTTTGTAAACTCTGGACCTAATCTACAGCTGGAGGGTAAGGAGCCAAGACTGTGACCGTCCTCTTAAAGGGTTTATACAAATAGGTCCTGATGAACCCGCAAATTACCCGCTGATTAGTCAGTCTGGAAAACACGCGTGAATAACATCTCTCTCACACAAACACAATACAAAGTACAATAGAATTGTGTACTCTCTTGAACAACATTTGAGAACTAAATCACAGAAGAAAATTGTGATTAAATGAGAAAACAAACACGATAACGAATGAACTAACAGAAATTACGTTTCTGGACTGAAAAAAGCAGGTTAAACATTTTAAATGATCACTGCAATGTTGCAAACCAAGGATTCACTTCTTTGTCGTTTACAGCCCAAACTACTAACTTTGTTTATAAGTAGATCTCTAAGTCAAACTTAACACGGCCCAATATTAACTTACGGTAAGTAAGTATGATACTATAACAACAACAAAACCTGCATGCGTTGTAAATATTCTAGCCAATCCATACTATTTAGCATTTAATCAGGCAGGTTTTATTAAAGAACCTGGGTTTGTATTACAAATTAGTCCTTTAATTGTAAAAAGCCTGAGTATTACAGTACTGCAGTCTTCGGGACGAATCACCCATCCAAAAATGCATCGATTATTCATCTCAGTAATGACCTCGTGTCCTAACCTGTTAGACTCCAGTCCTGTACAGCCTGCCGCGCCGCTTCAGAGGCTCCTCGCCAACAATTTGAAAACAAGCATATGACAGAAATACCGAGAGATTCCTTGACTTTGATGAGCGCTGGAATATCACATAGTTCTCTAAAGTCTGACGTTTGGAGGGCTATTAAACAACACTAAGCACAGCTAAGCTTGGAGAGACTTTTTCTCTCTCTGACAAGCCCACCGTAAAGTCAGAACATCCAGCCAAAGTCAACGAGTCACGAGGCGACAGCACTTAGCGAACGCCCTTCAACACCTTAACATCTGTGCTGGTATGCCCGAAAGATAGGAAACCCCCCCTGGAGTGAGGAACTAGTGTTGTTTGACACCCAGAGTGGCGGCTGTGGGGAGCGGTACTTCGATGCAATGCCGAGGAACCCGCACAAGAGACTGTGAGAACACTGGAAACCGACGACCTGAGCTGCGTGTCCAGCGAGGGGTCGAAGGTCATCCGCGAGCAGTTAGTGGACGGCCAGAGAAGGAGCCGGCGCCGGAGACCATCCTTGAACTGAGTCAACAAGTTTAGTACCTTGGTCCCGTGATGGAGATTGAGCCAACTCCATTCGGGGAAGAAGACACATGCTGTCAAAAACTAAGGGGACTTAATTGTTTTGTCAGACTATTGAAAAACAGCCTGAGAACAGAGCTTATAATAAATATCACATTTTTCATCAAACTACAAATGTTCTTTTAGCTTTCTGTTTACTTGGAGTAAACAAATACGATGTTGATGAACAAGCTTGGGAGATGCTAATTCTGCGCTAGCTGTCTTAATTCTTTATGCAAAGTTCCGCTAATTTTGTTCTGGCTTGAGCTCCGCACTTAAAGCACAGACATGATACTGCTTTCAATGTGCTCATCTAACCCTCAGAAAGAAAGCTAAGGATATCAACCCATGTGATGATCTCATTCCTCCGAAGTCATGTGGGGAGAGTAAGAAATAAAGCCTATGTCACTTTACATTACATATTTATCTATTTTTTCAAACCTTGCGCTCATGCATCAACAAGTGAGTTTAATTTGCGCTGCAAAAGATCCAAATATTATCAAGATAAATATAACATACGGCTCCTTCTGTCTATCTCGCACTGAGCTAAATCTAGTGCAAAGTCTCTGCAAGGTTGTGCCAGATGCCTCGTCTCCCTCTCAGCTCAAGTGTCCCACATACAGTATCAGAGAATTGCTGGTTCCATAGTACGGGAGCCGAAGCAGCAGGTTAGAAGAAAGAAAAAAACACCTCCCTGGAGAAACGATTCAAGGTATTGAAGAGAAAAGGAGGTGAGTAAAGTGAGTGCATTTCAAAAGGGGAATAATGAAGGCCACGGGGTTTGATGTTGCTACGTTGGCCCCGAAAATGAGTTAGTTGATGATGGAATCAATCAAGCCTCTGTGGCGCTGAATGCTAATGCACATATGTTTAGTTGTTCTTTTGCATTTTTAATAACAGTGTCAACATGAAACCTAACCATCCATTGCTGCAGACGGAGTGAAGTGCCGTTATCTGCAGCCCGGCCGGTGATATCCGCTGACTGAAGCAATAGGCTACTATGTGAAATGTGACGGGTGTGTTTTCTTTTCCTTTCTCTTTTTTTTGCCGCTGCTCTTGTGTTTTTGTTGTGATGAGTGAACACAAGGTCAAAATGGAGTTTATCCTCTGATATCACCTGCCAGTCCAGACAAGAGAAATGCTCACTCAAGGTGACATTACTTTGGTGTCCGTACACATCTTGCCACTACATCTTTCATTTCCTGTGAGCTAAAACGTACAACTTATCCTTTGACAGGAGGAGTAAACATCTCTAATATGACCCGGGCTGTGATCTGCCTGGATAAACAAAAGAAAACCTGCCTCACTCTCCACCATCCTTGACAATCCCATTGAAAACAATAAACAAAGAAAAGACGCATTTAAAATATGAGACATGAGTAGGAAGAAGAATAACTTTTCAAGTGTCAGTGGATTAAAGAACAATGCTACAGTATGATAAATTCATCATAGTGTTGACAATAACTAGATTTCTGTATTTGATGTGGGATTACTGGAAGGTGAGCGCCACGGAACGAGCAGTGCTTCCATAATTAGATGGAAACAGTGATAATAGACAGACACAATAGCAGGGTGATTTAAGAGAGCTCATGACATTTCCTTTTTCTTTCTGCAGTGAAACTTATTTAGTATGCAATGGATCAATCGCCATTCTCAAAAAGTCATTTAAATTAACTTCTCGGGCAGATATCTATCCTGCAAAGTGGCACGACCGAGGCAAGGGACTATCAGAAAATTAAAAGGGATTTAATTTTTTTTTTCTGTGAGAAATAGAAATAGAAGAAAACTTAGCATGGCATTGGCTACGCAAACACACAAGACGTTTCGCACCACACATTTCAAGTCTTTCGTTTCATTTTTTTTATCATGAATCTAAAGAGTAACACAATTTTTAGTACATACACGGCTCTTCATACTTGTTCTAATAACTTATTCCGCCTTTGTATTTACAAGAGATCATGTCCAATAACTTACATGGAAGTCATCAAAACAATGGCGGCTAAATTGATTTTTTTTATGAAACTTATTAATATTTAATAAGTACCAAGGCCAAAAAAAATCCTGCCCTTACTCCCTCCTTTCAAATTAAGAGGAGTCCAAATTGAATGTGCAGTAATTTAGTCTCACTAAATAAAAATAAGCCAATGGCCATGCCATGCATATCTAACGGCAGATGAAGCATCAAATTAAAATGTCAGGGACTGGTTGCTGCACTGTTAGTGTATAAATTTATATTTGAGATTATGCCATTTTCAAGGAAGGTGTAATTTGTGCAGCAGTACAATCAGAGCAACAGCACCGTGTTATTATTTTCGACAATTCTCAGTCATGTTAATGTCGGGAAGGAAGGAAGACAGCATGACACCTAGTATGATGTGAATAACCCATATATCTCAGCACCAATTAGCATTAAGCAGCACTGTAACGTGAAAGGAAACTAATTCATAAATACTGTAGCAACATGAAAGAGGAGGGAAGCCACCGGGAGAAGAAAAATAAACTGTCAGTCTCATAAAGATGGGGAAACATAAACGAAGCCTTTCCAATTACTTCAAGGTTAACTGTGAACCACTAATAACTTCAGGGAACCGGAAAAACAAAACATTGTTAGCTAATTACATAAGCAAGTCATTTTCGACTGATTGATGCAACACATTATTCCGTGCTCCCACTCTCTCTCTCTCTCTCTCTCTCTCTCTCTCTCTCTCTCTCTCTCTCTCTCTCTCTCTCTCTCTCATCCTGTCCCTAATTTCTCTCCTACATATAGAAGAGAAATGCATAAAGACTGTGTTTGCTTTGGCAGCTGTCTCCATGCATGCCCACACTGACACTCTCCCGCCTGAGCAGTAAAACACAATCAACTGGTGAACAACCCGGCAAAGATTTATCATCCTCATCAACTCAGGACCAAAGCTCCACGTGTGAGCCGACACACCCGGCAGATAGAGAGCTGCCGCCACTGTTTAGAACAGAGGTCGAGTTGCTGAGGTGAAGAAGCAGGCACTCCACGTTTACGTTTGTGATGAACTGAATTAATATTCCTCTGGTTGTCAGCCAGACGAGGGGCAAAGAATTCTGTTTTTCACGCTGTTTATATGCGCAACATATAACAAAGATGCTTAAAGGGAGATCATTTATGTTTATTGTTGCATCTTCTGTCACTGATGTAACATAGAGGATGTTCTGTTCACTCATGCACAGTAGGATATTTGTTAGTTAGAAAGATGCATAAGAACAGCTCATGCTGTATACAAGCTCAATCTGGATTTGAGCTGTAGTTATACAGTATTGTAAACATGCGCAGTAGGAATGTGCATTAGTCATCCCCACTGTGCAATAATGAATATGATTTACAATGAGGGCAAAAAGTGGATTATGAATTTGCTTCTAGACCGTGTGTGGGTTTGGTTCTCAGTTCCGTTTAGGATGAAGATAAAAGAGCATGATGTGGGATATAGAATGAGGATGCGGCTGAATGTCCCAGAGATGTGCCCCATCTGAAATCATTATTTAATGGTTTGCTTGCCAAAACCCCATAAATTGTACTCATCATGTGTTTGCTCGCCAAACTTAAATGTAACATATATCGACGTGTAAACAGCAGCAACAACTGGTTTGGTAAACTTTTCCCTGAAAGCTCCAATCAGGCTCAGAGATGACTCATCATAAATAGCGTGGATAAAAAAGTACAGACGCGCGCAACACTCGTGATGCTGTTGTTGAACACAGGCTTTGTGTGGCACTAAGAACAACTCCATCAAAACCTGACATTTTGTAATAGCATAGCAACCGTTAATGAATCACACGGCCCTGCATTAGCAGAGGCATCTGCTTGAGCTCTGACAACCAGCCACAAAAGCAATACATTGAATATGCTGTTTATTGTGTCAACTCCTATGGTTCGCATCGTGCAACACGTGTTGCCTCATAGAAAACCGTGGACCACATTTCTTCCCCATGTCTTGTTACTGGGTTGCATAGCATGATGTTTCCCCCTAGTGGCATGAATGGAACAGGCAGACGTTTTGAACATTTATGCATTTAGGAAATATAAAACAGCAATTATTTATTGGTCAGCTAGAATGATTAGAGGACCGTTACATCATATCAACGAGGGAGAGTTTCTGTCCCTTGTCTCTTTGTCATTATCTGTGTAGTACTTTTGATATAGAAAATACATCTAGCACATCATATTAAAGCAGTGAATATCCTAAATTAATGACATTAAATGAATAAAAATAAACCCACACAAGCCCAGATGTCTGGTGAGAATATGAATTTCAATGTTCTAGAAATCTTCATCTAAATCTGTGTTTGCTCACAGGCCTACTGAATAAAAATGAGAAACAAAGTTGTTCTTCCAACATCGACAACTTCTTAAAGTATTATCAGTTTTGCAACAAATAGTTTGAAGATATAATAGTTTGCAATTATGCATAATATAATATTACTTACTCTAATATTACTTACTGACAAAGCATTTAAATTCTCATACCTGATAAAAACATGACATCTGGCATAAAAATATTCATTTAAAGATTAAAAATCAGCAATTAATTTTAGACATCCGTGACTAGAATTCATTCCTTAAATTCCCCAAAGATTCCTGTGTAAAATATTGGTCTCCTCTAATCAAGTTTATGCAAATACTACAAATACAACGTTCACCAAATCATGCATAAAACCATATAATTAACTTACAAAAATACTTTTGTGACAAGAAAGCTAGCAAAATAATACCTTGAGTCGAATCAAAGCCAAGTATAAAGACGCAGGAAGAGCAGCGGTGCAATCGAGGGCAGCAAAACCCTGCAACTACGGGCTGATAAATACACCCGGACTATGAAGAGCTTTGTGAGATTGCAGGCCTGAGCATGTTACATCATTTGGAAAAGACATAGATCAATTAACTGATTAGCATAAGATCCAAATATTTATGAAAGGATTTGAGGTAAGCGGGAGAGAATAGGAAAGTAGTTTCTTGATGGGTCGTTTTTAGGTCAAATGAATAATTCCACCTTTTGGGAATTAGCCCTATTTGCTTTCATTCATAGAGATGGATGATCAATACCACTCTCGTGTCCGTTTCTCAATAAAGTTGGAGCAAGGCTGACAGTTAGCATTATGGAGATCGGACACAGATCTAATGCTCTCTCAATGCTTCATCAAAAAAAGATTTATAATAACGATAAGCATAACAATTCATCATTTTATATATCAACTGGTTTCCTGAAAACTGCAGAGAACTCTATAGCTTAGCTGGCTGTCCCCCCCCCCCCACTTCCTCTCTTTATGCGAAGCTAAGCCAACCAGCAGCCAGCATCCTTTTCATGTTTAACAGAGAGACCGGAGTGGTGTCACTCTGCTCATCTAAACTTCCACAACAAAGCAAATTAGAAGATTTTCCTGAATATCAAACTCTTCCTTTAAATGACTTTGAACTGACCTGGACTGTCAGGGGAGTGCTTGTGTTTAAAAGAGTTACTAGTTGTGATAATACATGTTGAGGTAACATAAGAATAGTCGTATGACTGTAGATGCAACTCGCTGTGCTTTTAGACAGTTAGAATGGAATAACGAAGGCGATAACATCCCATAAAGAGCTTGGCTTGATATATCTTATTGTAAATGAAGCAGACATCTTAATGGTGGATCAAAAGCTTTTCCTTTTAGACAAACTGTCAAGTGAGAAACAAATGGTGTTATTATGTTTCAGACACCAGCCCCACAATTCAAAACATTGCAAAGTCAATAACCACACTTGGCAGTTGAGACAAAGATGGAGAAGAGGTGCGAGTTGTGCAAACTATTGCATTGTGGGACGGCCCTGATGCACCAAATGAAATCGATTTACAAAGACTCCATCTTAACACACTTGGTACATTGGGGATTTAAAGTTGAGATGCTAAGGGGCCATAACAACATAATCACAGCCATAAAGCTTGCCATTTGTCAAAAAACACTAACACACGCTGGAAATGACGTATTCACATCTGAGTCATTTGTCAGTGGATTACTGATGAGCTGAGCGCCGCCTCTAAAACATTATTTTTCTATTACCTCGGGAGATTTAAAATGTGTTGTGAGAGCTGCTGCAGGATATCAATGTCAAATCTATTTGGATGAGAACAAACAGTGTCCGCCAGCAGTGATGTTCAAACAGACACATTTTATACCAAACGGTGCAGCTTAAAACACCTTGTGGCACAAATTTTCAGGTCAATGCACAACTATTTGACCTGCAAAGGGGAATACAAAGCAATGTTGAAGGTACTCATAATCTATTGATTGATAAATGCATTTTCCCTTCCTGTTAAGTTGGCTCTGTCAGACCAGTGCACATCACTGGGGGCACAAATATGACCTTGCTTGCTGTTGCTTGCTTTTTGTAGCACACGGCCTTGATTCCCCAGTGGACTCTTTGCCTATAAAAAGTGAATAACAACTGCAGAGTTTGCAGAGTATTGAATTAGAAAATAGGGATTAAAACTACTTAAAACAGAGAAACACTTTCCTCATATTGTGGTATCATGAGAGCTCTGTTTAGCTCTTAACAGTTACAAAGTTATGTATTTATGCTGATGCAAATGAACACTGCTCTTAGGCACCTTTATAGCAGAAGAGAAAACATAATAGTTCAGTCTGCCTTCAGTTTCCACTGATAACTCTTCTTTGGCGGCAGTTTGGAAACTTTTTCTTTTCTCAGACAACTACTATGGTGTTTGAGCCCTTTCCTCTGATCTCATTCGCTTTCACGCACTAAAGACCTGTTTAAAGTGACCTTAAAACTATTGAGGGCAAAATATTGTAAGATACTGCATGAGGGGAAGGAATTCAGAAGGTGTTTAATACTTTTTAAAGTGCATATTTTTTACTTGCATTTTAGATACTCAATGTAAATGTTGATGGAGCAATACTAAAGCGTCCCTATTCGTTTGAAGTTGCTGATGAAAACCAATGAAGCTCTCCATGGACAGGGCCCCTTGATTGAGAGATGTATTTAATGGATTTTATCTTGCATAATTTAGTAAGACTTTCTGGTTTCTTGCATCTGTGTGTCCTCGATTTCCTAAACTACTGCTTAACTTTGGTTGATGTAAACGAGAAAATAGTGCAAATGCTCCGTAACTTGTATGCTGCTGCTACATATGAAAGCTCAACAACTATACTAACGCGTATTCAGAGTGATGTTTGTCTGTGCTGGTTATTGTTATTATTCAATAAATCATTAAGGACCAGGGACAGTTTGCACTTGCCCTACATACCCATGGTTGTATTGAACTTGATAATAGTGGCCTATTTTGTAATTAGGACAGTAAAGCTAAGTGAACGAGTGCCTTTATTAATGTCCGTGTTCAAAAAAAGAAATTTACAAATGTATATGTTGTTCCATTTTACAGCTAAGTAAATATAAAATAGCTAAACATTTGCACCTCAACATGAAAAACACTGTCAGCCATTTCTCCAGCATCCCATTACATGCTACACGTGTTGTGTACAGGGATGGTGATTATTTGGAAGAGTCGAAGCAGGTGTGACAGCAGCCAGCATCGTTTTGTAGAAAAATGGTTTTATAGTTTATTTTCCACTGGAGCACCGGCTGTACTCTTTCATTTGCATGCAAGAAACTCAACCAGCAACCTAGGAGTCTTCAAAGGCAGTCTCCCAGGTAATGCAACAGCTTGAAATTTTACATCTGTTGATCACTGGCTGGAGTTTTGATCGTGTAGATTCAAACTGGAGGGAGAATGTTACTTGTTTACAAATTTAGACCAGAGTTTCAACTAGCGAGGGAATTATCTAATTATCTTCAAAATGCAATATTTCACAGTTAAATATACTTAGTGTTTGATGTCACTATATTAGTGAAATCATCAGAAAATTGTTGACTGTTTTATGATTTCAATCATACTTTTATTGCGCAAAGAAACACTAGTGTGGTTAATAGAATACAATATAATTAAATATAATGTAACAGAAATTAACTTAATACATATAATAATAATTCCCATCGAATAAAAGAAAATATTTACACTTGTGGACTTTATTGCCACAACCATATTTGACAAATATTTACATCCTCGAGGTACTTCTACATCTCCATTGCCTTGTCAACACAGTTTTTAAAAGATAGTGGCCACCTCTGATGCCGTCGCCACTGTAACTATAGTTGGACTGTGGTTGTGGATTCCAGCCCCCCCACCACACCCCTCACGCTGCTGCTGCTGGGGAAAGTAGGATGGGAGGGTCCCGGTCTTCGAGAAGGTCTGCATGCTGCTCCTCGATTTTGGGAGATTGGTGCCATAGCAAGAGTCCTTCCAAAGGGGAGGGTAGCCGTGAGGGTGGTTGAAGACGGGTACTGGGGCGAATCCTATGGTGTATGCATTGTCTGTGGGGCCTCTGAAGCTCGGCTGCGGTGCTGACCAGTACGTGCTTTGGCGATCCCCGGACAAGCTGTTGGCAGTGCTGGATGAACCTTAAATGCAAAGATGGAAGAATGAGGATGAGAATTTTTCGGGGGGGCAGCACACTTTCTCACATTCTGGTGAATATTTGTGTTTAACTCAGTAATGTGAAACGTCAGATTTTGAGAGAAGAACACTCACACTTAATCCTCGGTTGGAAGGTGCTGAAGTTCTTTTTGCCGCCGTCGCCACTGATGTCAGAGTCGCTGTCATTGAAGTCACTGTCCCCTTTGCCGCTGTCCTTTACGCTCAGCTGGTCGCTGATGCCGATACCACTGCGAATACAATCAACAAATACAGTATGAGCCACCACTGCAGCACATTAGCTTGATTATTGATGTCTTTTCTCACATACAAAGCCTGTCTCTGTCCTTCCCATCTAACCTCATTCCACAGGAAGGCCACAAGCGAGGAAATGCATGCATGGTGCATGTTAAGTACCCTCTGTTGCGTTCAGCCAGATTTGACTGCGAGTAAAGCACATCCTATCTGAGAAAGGAAAATACATTTAGTTTTTCTTACCTCACTTGCAAGCAGTATTTGTCACCTTGCCACACAGATGTTGCCTGGAAAGGCTTGGAGGGTAGGAACATCTAAGAGAACAAACAGAATGACAGCAGAGAGCTCAGTTTCCATTTCTGGCACAAAGATAAAGGCATTACTCTGGAACATCATATGCATATAAAAATAAGAGATCAAAATGAAAAAAAGAACCCTCCTGTAATTGACTCACCTTTTTCTCTGAGTCCCCACTCCGCTCCTCATACAGGCAGGAATCCTCCAGGGACGAGGAGGTTCTCTCGTGGAAGAAGCCTCGTTGTCCGGTGTATATGTTCGGTTCTGCTGAGCCCAGCATGGGAACGGGCCTCCTGTCGAACAGGCTGTGACGCGCTTCCCTCTTGGAGCCACGGCTTCTGGCTCTGCGGCCGAGTTTGCACGTCACAACTACGGCCATTATTGCGATCAGCAGCAATGCACATCCCCCGCTGAGCATGACAATGACAATTAATGAGCCGTCCAGGCCGGAGCCCTCTTCATCACTTGACCGCAGCACAACGACGACTTGGTCTTCAGAGGGCTGTGTGTCTGAGACAACAAACCTAATGGTGGCACTGCTACCCAGCGGGGATCTGCCATTGTCACTCACGGCGATTCTCATTTCCAGCACGTCGCCGATTTCAGATGTCAGCCATTGCTTCAAAGCAATTTCTCCGGTGTCTTTGTTCATTGCGAAGAGCCGCGGGTCACCTTGAACAATTTCGTAGCACAGCTCGCCATTCACTCCCTCGTCCTCGTCTTCAGCCGAGACGCGAAGCGCAAGATAGCCGGCGGGTGCATTAAAAGGCAGAGGGATATCCGCAGAGTCGTTCACAAGGACGGGGAAGGTGAAGTATGGGTAATTGTCATTCAGATCCACAACTTTCATTCTGATGGTTGTCGTGCTTGAGAGAGAGGGGGAGCCTCTGTCTTCGGCTTGGATGACTAGCTCGATCTGCTGAAGAGTCTCATGATCAAAAGACCTCAAAGTGTACAACGAGCCAGAGACTGAATCTACAGAAACATAAGTGGACACGGGGGATCCACCTGGCACCTCCGAATCTATGAGTTTGTAGGACACTTTGGCATTCTTTCCCACGTCGAGATCGCGAGCAACCACAGTGGTCACATACGAACCCGGGATGTTATTTTCGAGGACCGAAACTTCAAAAAGGGACTTGCTGAAGAGCGGCGGGTTGTCGTTCTCGTCCGTCACGCGGATGGTGTACTGCCTGACTGTTTTGAACGGCGGGCTTCCCACGTCCTCCGCAATCACAGTCAAATTGTACTCTGGGATTTTCTCTCTGTCTAAAGTAGTGCTGGTAATAATCATGAAGGAGTCCCCGTACGCCTGCTGCAGGGTGAAATGCTCGTGCCCGAGCAGGCTGATGCGCACGTACCCGTTGGAGCCAGAGTCTCTGTCCGAGGTGCTGATCAGAGCCACGAAGCTCTCTGCGGCCGCGGCTTCTGTGATGTAGGCCACTCCATCGCTGCTGGAAGTCATCGGCTTGATGCTGATTTCGGGCGCGTTGTCGTTCACATCCACGACGTCCACCACGATCCTGCAGCTGGACGGCACGGAGTTTGCGCCTAAATCCGAGGCTACGACGTTCAGCTCGTAGGACCTCCTTTTCTCAAAGTCAACCAGCGCCTTCAGGGTCACGTCCCCGGAGTAAGGGTCAACGTGGAAGAGGCGGCCAACTTCCGCCGGGAGCCCGTCGGCGAACGCGTACGTCACTTCGCCGTTGACCCCGTCGTCGGGGTCAAAAGCGTGCACTTTCAGAACTCTGTGCCCGACCGGGGCGTCTTCGTTGAGCTCCACTTTCAGGGAGCTGTGCTCAAAGGTCGGGCTGTTGTCGTTGAAGTCCAGCACGCTGACGTGTACCACCATTGAGCCGGACTTGGCCGGCGCTCCTCCGTCGGCGGCCGTGACTTCGATCGTGAAGCGGTCCTCCACCTCCCTGTCGAGCTCCCTCACCAGCACCAGCTCTGCAAACTTCACCCCGTCGTCGCGATGGCGCACCTCGACGGCGAAGTGGCTGGAGGCGGAGATGTTGTAGCTCTGGATGTAGTTCTCCCCCACGTCCTGGTCGAGCGCGATCTGCAGCGGGAACCTGGAGTGCAGCGGGACGTTCTCCACGATCTCCAGATTGGTCTCGTTGCGCAGGAAACGAGGCGAGTGGTCGTTGATGTCCTTCACCTCCACTTCCACGTGGATGAGTTGGAACTTTTCTTTGGAGAAGGCCACGACGTCGAAGGCGACGAAGCAGCGCGGGGACCTGGGGCACAGCTGCTCCCTGTCGATTGTTTCCGCCACACTCAGAAGTCCGTCAATCTCCCTCATGTCAATGACGGAGGAGTTGTTTTCTTGCATGAAGCGGAACGACGTCTCGGGGTCATCAGCTGGATCGATCTTTAAATCTCGGGATAGATTGCCTATCTCCGTTCCGGGTGCGTCCTCTTCATAGGTGAAATACCTGGTAGTTGTACCCTGAGCAGAGTAGACAAATAAAGAGAGCACCGCGCACAGGCCGATCCCTGCCGTCTTGCAAAATCCCATGTTTAAGGGTTACAAAAAAAGAAATAAATCAATCATAAATGATGCCAACAATCTGGGCACCGTCTGGGCAACGTTGGGTCGAATCACAACTGTGTTTAACTCTGACTTTGCTGTGGGACTTTAAGCCCCGGTATATGCAAATGTCCTGCCCCGTCGACCAATGGCCTTTCAGCGGGCCGTGCGCCAACAGGGGCACGTTTGGCTCCAGCAAACTGGTGATCACTTTTGTGGAAAGCAAATGGTTTACTAGATGAACTCATTGGGTGGCTTTAATCCGTCTGATAAATCAGTGTGACTTAAATAAATCTGCACATGGCAATTCCTTAACTGATTTAATCAATTAGGGGACTTTAATAGGACTACGCTGTCATCAGCGGATGCCTGAAAGGATTGATCTGTTGTGACTAATAGATAGAGAACATTATATAGAGGCTGTGGTGGAATAGGACAAAAAATATATAAGGGCGCAATATCCACATGTCATGTGGTACCTTAAATGTACTTACACATTGAAGGAATGCAAGCAATATTCACTTCCAAGTAAAAACCCAGAATTTACTGTATTAATTAACTTGCAGTCAACTACTTATAAGTATTGCTGTCAAGGGCTGTGGCATAAAAAGGCCATAATACTCAAGCAAATAACCAAGAATATATTTCTGAGGATGTATTTCTTTAATAAGTGTGTGCTTAGTTACACTCCCCACTGGATAAAAGCATTCATTGCTATTCTTAAGTATTTGTATCACTGAGTCTCATCAAAAGCCTTATTTAATTGCAACAAAACCCAAACAATAGACCCATGTATTTCTTTATTCTATGCTCAAAATATCTCTTCATGTAAATATTGCTCTTAGATGATTTACATAATAAAGGAAAAGGAGAGTTTTCTCTTTTTGTTGTGCACCCAATAACACATGTCTCATTCGAAGCAGAGGAGGAATTTAAGTATTATGAATTAAAGGAAACTAACAAACTCAGAAAACAATGTCAAATGATTAGTGAGCGGTTTTGGACACCCTGTTAATGACACATAGAACATCAGTGTAGCTCGAAGTTAGAGGAAAACAATGTGTCATCAAGACCATCTATTGTAATAAACACTCAAACGCACTTCTTATTGTACCCCTTTCAAAACAAGTTATAAGACAAGAGCCGTGGAAATGAGAAGAACAAAGAAGTCTGCAGAATGAACTGCAGTAAATGATTCCCCTCCCACCTCAAACACACTCCTGCAGACACACTCCCCAGCAACAGCTCCCATAGTGATAACAAAAGAGCATGAGTCAACCAGACCTTTGTCAACCATATGGGTAATTAGCTTTTGCTGATTAAAAGGCGTCTGTGGGCCTTCAAAGGACTCTCGACACCTCACAAAAGTTTGGGTTAAAGCTGTCTGAGCCCCCAAGAGGGCACAGGGAGGTGTGAAAAAGCACACGACATCCTCAGGGACCAGAGAGAACTGGTGGTGCAGTGTCAGCCAGAGGTGTCGTGGTAGCTCTTTCCTGCCACAATTTCATCCCAATTTGGGCTTTTATACTAAATGTCCACCCGTCCATCCATTTTCTGATGCCCATCCAGTGCCGGGTAGCAGCGACAGCAGGCAAAGGGAGTTGGTCCATATTTCTCCTCAGCAAACCTTTTCAGCTTCTCCACGAGGATCGCAGGCCGTTTCCGAAGCAGACGAGAGATAAGATGTCTCAGGGGGGTTCTGGGTCCACCCCGAAGTCTTCTCCAGATTGGACATACCTGGAGAACCTCCAAAGGCCATCTGTCAGATCACATGCTGGAACCGCTCTCCAAGCTGCAACGATGTCTGGGCTGCTCACCCGGTATCTAAGAGTCAGTCCCGCCAAACTACAGAGGAAACTCACTTGCGGCCGCTCTCTTTCTTTCTGTCACCACCGAAAGCTCATAACCATAACCACCCAGATGAGGGTTGGAATTGACTGGTAAATCAATAGTTTCGCCTTTCGGTTCAGCTCCCTCTACACCTCAGCGCTTGCATTACTGCTGGCACTGAACCAATTCTCCTCTCAATCTGCAGGCTCCATCCAACGCAAAGTCCTTTGAGCCTCCTGGGACAGGGGTTCCCCTTCAGGAAGCCCCTAATTAAATTCATTTGACTTACTCGTCTCCCCTTTTTCTATTTTTTGTTAATTTGTGTTGTTTATTTTCTCTTTCATTCAGAAAACCCGTAGCTCAACCACACCTGCTTCTTCAGCTTCTTCAGATCGACAGCCTCTCGCCAGCTTCTCAGACAGCCACAGAGAACCTACTTACCGCAAATCTGAGCAGCCGTCTACGCAAAAGTGGAGGCTTTGAACATGTCACACTCAAATTTCATGTCCCAAACCACAAATCTGAGAACCAAGTCAACCCTTGATGTTTGGCCAGAGGTGTTCTGGTAGCAAGTACAATTACGCTGGCACATGGTGTTCGCTAAGTCAAATCTATGACAGGCATAGACGTCATATAAAAAAGCGCAACGGGGCATTTAGCGTTCTAAATGTAGAGAGAATGACAGAGATTTAACACTTTGCTGTGCAGTAAGCCGACTTATGATGTATGCTGCTGTGTTTTTCTGTTTGAAAAAAAACTTTGTTTTTCCCACCAATGCTGAGTACTATGAATTATCCCACAAATCAATAAATTAAGTTATTCTGGTTTATACGCTAAGCAGGCTAGTACAATTAAATATCCTTAATCTCAGAGGTGCAACAGCATTGTATCCTTACATGTGGTTCTCAACATTGAAAGAGAAATATTCCGATATTAAGTGTAAACAAAATGAACTCCTTCGTGGGTTTTTTTTTTCCGCTCTCTAGCTCTATTTTATTTAAAACAAGATCATCCCAAACACACAAACATTCAGCGAGGGGGGGTCAAATTTAAGATACTTTTCTACCATCGCTAGACACACAAAGCCTTCACCACAACAGTCCCATGCTGGCTGGGTGTTGAAATCCAGGATTTTGTGGCTCTGAGGAGTCAGAAAACAAAGCAGAATTATTAGCCAAATTAGTTGTTTGCCACTAAGAGGATTATGCTTTAATCTCATTGTGCACTTAACACTTGGTGGTGCAACGAGTTCAAGGAAACAACTGAGCAGCCGCAGATAAAAACATTTTGGTCTTAAATGAAAGAAAAGACATAATGCTTAAAAGAGCAGCTACATGGGTTATGGTGTGCATTTTTGATTTTCCTCATGTATCCTACGTTGGGTTTGAGCCAACTGCCTATACAAGACATTACTATAAGGTCACCAGAGTCTTAACCTCAAACAAAGAATGTTTAGCACAGGAGTGATACTTGTTTGGAACTTAAGTCAGGTAATTAAGACGCGTGTGGTGACAGTAAGAGCCTTACAGCAGATTATTGGGTTTGGCCATCTGTTCTCCGACTGAGGTGATTTTGATTAACGTTAAAACAATTGTCAAATTTGCCTTAGCTGTCGAAAAACAATAACGGCAGTAAATCAGTCAAATGTGCCCCATTCCTTCAGCTTCACTTTAAGGCCATTTGAAGATTCTCCCCTTTGAATGCCACCAGATAAGAAGGCAGTAAAAGCATCTGGTGAGACCGGGAGAAGTAATCCTGGCATATGCCACTGGGAACAAATGTCTCAAGAGGCCACTTTTTACAATCGCCCACGTCACCCACTGCTGGTAAATTGTAAGCCTGCTTCTTTCATCTCACTTGTTTCACGGTTCCCTGTATTTAAGATGAAAAAGCTTTTTGAAAATACTTTCTAGAAATGTTTTTTGAGGATGAATAATATTAATCAATTTAATCAAAATGAATCAAATCACATGTCCTACATATTTATTTTTTGTGTCTATTATTACTATATTTCTCCTTACTTACAGCTGCTCTTGTCTTGTTGTTGTATCTCATTGTCCACTTTGCTGCCGCGATCTTGTGAATTTCCCCATTGTGGGACTACTAAAGGAATATCGTATCTTATCTTAACAAAACAAAATGCTGTAGATACATCTGAGAGCAACTAAATGGCAGTTGTAGATGCTGCATGTCTCGCAATTCAAATAATCTAGACATTTAGGAACTCATTTTTCTCTTTGTCTCATCATCACAGTTACAACCAATGTAATCTGAAACTGTAAAAAAAACTGAGTGGTAAGTCACAGTTAATTTTCACCTTGTGTAAAACCAAAATAGGAAGAACACAATACAAAATCAGAGCTTGTGCTTCTTTCCACCTAATAGTTCTTCATCAGGACCAACAGCAAACCTTGCTATCCATTCTATTATATTCCCTCGACAAAAACTCAATAGGCTGCAATTGTCCTTTTGACATGGGATCCCCCAGGACCTCCATTATACAGGCTGATTTAAAAAAGCAGAAATTCATAGTGACAGAAAAGTAATTAGGAATAAAAAGACAAAGTAGCTTATATTTCCTTTGAGATATAACAAAAATGCTGCCTCTGGGGTCTGCGCGTACCTTAGTTTGTAGAATGAGGGGTTAACATCTGTAAACATTCTTTAACAGGCCATTAGACATCTCATACATAAGCCAAGTACCTAAATGGGCTTTTTTTAAATAACAATGCAACCGATAGAATTATCCTCATTGCAGAGTGTTTATTAGATTAGGATTCGTTAGGTCTGGAAACTCATCCAGCCATTTCCAGGCCCCTTATCAATTTCCTCATCTCACTTTAACCTTAGGTGCTCCAATAAACTGGGGGTATACATGTCACTGCTCTGGGCGTGAGGGTCACGTGGAGGGTTTAATCTCAGCCATTTGTGCTGTCTGAAAGACAGATAAAACAAGATTATCCCGGTCTTGGTATTGGCTTTTGGTGAGACGAGAGGGTGGAAGAATGTGAGCAGCAGCTGTGAAGGTGCCAAATGCTCAGACCGGCTAGTGGTCTCCATTGCTCTTGGCACCTCCTGCGGCGCTACAGGCACAGATAACCCTCCCCGCTCCTTTCCTCCCCCCAACCACAGCTCATCCTCACAGCTCTCCGACTGATTACAACGGGCCAAATGTTTAACATACTGTCCCTAATCGCACTTCACATTCTGTCACACTATGCCCATAAAAAGCTCTGAGGACCATGTAACTGACATCGGTACTCGTAGCCTTGGCGCTATTAGGTTTAATTGTTTTTGCCTTTCTTTTAGTCTCCTTGTTTGCACCTCAGCTCTGTAATGAATGCCTTCAGATCATTTCAGGAGGGATGAGATGTATCTTGCACAGCTACTAAATTTACGACAAATGAGGAGTAACTAAAAAGATACATTTGTAAAACAAAGATCAATTATGGAAATAAATGCATAACATAAGAAAATCATGAACCTGCCTTACTATTTTATGGTAAAATAATTAGTCTATTAGGGCCAAGCATGAATAATACAAGGTTTTCCTGTATCACAATCTCTGTGGACTCGACATGTTTCAAACAAATTCAGAACATTAATATGTACTCCGTGTAAACACGTTTCTAGGATTTTTTTAGTGTTGGCCACAAAAGACTGAGTCTATTAAGAAATCTGGAAAGACAGATTTTGTTGTTTAAATCTCCTAAAAGCCGAGGCAGATCAAAAGAGGCATTAGTATTCAGAGACAAATCATGTTTGGCTGAGGTTCTTCTACCCCCACTCAACTCCAACCATTCCCCACTGTGTAACTAATGCTCGCTGCCTGAGAACACTCGCAACAACAGTTGCTAGCTGTACTTCATTATGCATAAGTGTTTTTGAATAAGCTTTGACCACATGTACCATCAGGTACGGCTACTGCAGAAAAAGCACATTATTCATCATTTGAACTTAATCACTAAGGGAAAAAAACACCACAACCAGTATCAAGTCCGTTAACAAAAATACCTGTTTTAAGGTTATTATGACAAACAGAGCAAAAAAGGTTTTAGGACTTGAGGGCATTCATTTTAAAATCGGGAGTCAACCAGGTTTGGATTAAAACCAGGGAAGACAGTGCCATCTACAGGTTGGAACTTAGCCCGGTGAAACACAGAAAACCGAAAGCATGCACACGTTTCAGACCCAGATCATTAACTCTCTTGCTAATAGAATAGATATTCCTGTTCGGTTCGCCTTATTGACGGAGTCTTTTGTCCTCACAGTGGAAAGACTTGTGACCACAGAAATATTGCACCAAGCATTTGGATTCCACCAGAAACCAGCTGCCCTCCTCTTAGTGTGAAGTGCGGCCTCGGTAAGTGCTTTGTACTTTCTGTTGGTAAAGGACACACCGTGGGTTTCAATCCAATTATGGAGACGACTTCACATTTCATGCCTCATATTGAATTTCACCGCCTCGAGCTACGTGGAAGAGGGCCCCTGAAGATCAGCAGGGCTGCACATTAACCTCCGGTGATATTCTGTGTGTGATCACTAAGGGCACATATTTGACTTGACATCTCCCTATTCAACTTTCACTCTGATTTTCATGTTCCACGTCACCACTGAACTGGTCACTGCAGATACTACGGCGCTGAAAATCTCCTTGTTTCAGTGTGTCGTTCGGGGAGGATGTACATGCTTGCAATCCAGATTCCTGTCGCAAGTCGGCTGTTACTATATCAGGTGAGGTAAATAAGAAATTACTCGGTAGTTCAAGCTGGGAATAAATTGGCTTCTCTCTTGGACGGTTCTATTATTCGCAGCGGGGAGATTAAGAATAGCCTCCTAGCTTGTGTGCGTGTGCGCACGAGTAATATAAATGTGGCACCCCGCGTGCGTCTGTGTGTGTGTATGTTAATGCTAATTATTGCCTTTTCCAGGACGACGTCCCTCTCCTCATCTTCCTTCCTTGAGTATATTTCACATCTCCATATTGCCACATTAGAATGTCGCCTTCTTGAAGCAATTTCCTCTCAGCCATTATCTGATGGGTGAGGACTGTTTCCCATCGGCATGTGCGGATGACACTTGCGCTGGGCAGGAGCTGGCTGTTAAACGTGAGACTGGCTCCTTACCAGGCTCCAGTCTGCCTGGTCCTGACAGCACCCACAGGGCTGGCCACTGGGGGCAGACCGGTGGGCCAACTGGCCACTGAGGGCTGTAATCACTCCCTCTGACATGTTTGGCACCAGCTAAATATTTTCTCCAGAAAGGCCCGCGTGAGCGTCCTGCTTGATCCCGTTAGGCCAGGAGATGGCAATATTGAGGTGAGAGATAAACATTTGGAACACTTGAACCCCTGGCTCGTCTCATATGAGAGGCCATACAAAGCGTGCATGGAGTATTTCCAATTATTGGTCCTCTGTCATATTGTATTAATGTAGATGTCACACGTCTACCCAGTGGAGAAAATTGGGCATTAGTTGTCGTTGTGTTCTTAATGAGAAGTACCAGGTTAATATAGGAATGATACATTAGCAAAACAAAATATTACTTTTTCTGCAGTAAATCGAAATTATAAAAGCTTAATATTGTAAATAACCTGTTACAATTACCTGCCTTCACTTGTACAGTGAGTAGACACACACAACACGTATATCGTATAATAAAGGTACATACAGCCTCTTAGAACGGAATCGTTCAAGTGCAGACAACAACCCCTTATTCTCCAGCCCGGACTCGTAAGAGTTTACAATTAGGAATGCAAAACTGCCACCAAGGCACTAAAAAGATTGCCCACGGTGTAAAATGTGTGTGTGTGCATTCGCACAAGTGCACGAGCCGAGCAGAGAGATAGATTAATGTTGAGGGGCATCGGCTTAGGGGATGTTTTGTTTCCCCGCTGTGTGCCGAGTGCAGAGGGGAGCTGAGGGATTCCAATCTGGTGGTCGAGTCCTGCGGTGCGAAGGATGTTTAGAGCGCGCTTGGTGATAGCGGTCTCCATTACGGGGCTGAGTCTCAGGGTAGCCTGCCATTGTGCCGGCAAGCGAGGAGGTTAATCAGATCCCGGCTCCATTATGAATGCTTGCTATTTCTAAAGGGCTCTATGAATAGAATACTGTAAGCTCTCGTAAAAAAAGGAATCTGGGCTTTCACAGAACAAGGCCTGATAAAGAATGGCGTCGGTGTAAATTTTAAGAGATTCCACATTCTTCAGAGAAAAACCCAAATGAGCGTGTTTTATGGGGGCCTAGTTATTAATTATGTGAGATTAGGTTTATAGCACTGCAGTGATGTGTCCCATGTCCGCTCCCTTTTTGCTCTAAAATGATCTTAATTGATTTTTTTAGGTTTTAAATTAATTTCACACTGTGAGTCAATGGCCGTTGTCTTGTTGTCTTGCACAGATCGGTAAGTGTGTTATCAGTCCCTCATTAAAGCCGGTCATTGCTAAATTGCTTCTTTTGTTCTAGCTCATGATAATATTTTCATTTTCATGAGTTTTCCTGTCATTTCCATGTCCTGTAGCTCAATTAATAGCTTTGTTGGTGACCGTGCTTGTAAGGAGGACCTCAGGTGGACTTCTGTTATTTCTAACTCTAGACATAAACAAACGCATGTGGTACACACAGACTCACTGAACAAAGTTGTGTCTGGTTGCCGGACACTGAGGTGAATGTTTAGCTTTAGTTAGCTGTTGGGTGGCTGTGAGCCAAACTGAACAAAATATTAGTGAAGAGATGCATCTGCTTGATGACACCACTGACATGCCTGTGTGAACCTTCTCAATTTAGAGGCTGGTGAATGGTGCTTGTCTGATGGTCATGAAGAGTAATTAAAGTGTACTTGATGTCTTGTATTTTAACGTTTTTTTATGGCCTGAACCACTGATGACAGAAGTTTGTTTCTTATTTATTTTCTTTCGGACAACATTCTCACACTTCTTGTCCTTTTCATTTTAGTGGAAAAGCACTTTAAAATACAATTTGAAGAGTGCAATCTGAATAAAAGGGCACGGTGAAGGCTACAATTACACAGTGTGCTTTTGGGATGGATAATATTTACCATGAATCACAATCCAGCTCACACTGCGGCGTGTGTAGAGTAGAAACGGGAATGACGACAATAAGACATGACTCGCGGGAATAACACAAACAGGAGATCCAGCCGTCTGCTGTCGAGACAACATTCACTAACTGTGATTTATAAACGTAATAAACGTACGCCTGATAGGACAGTTCCCATTTCACACAATTTGTAGAAAATGTAATTTCTTTGTTGAGGCGCAGATGCTAAAATTCAGCTAGGCTTTGCAGAACAACAGAGCACTTATATGGGAGGAAATGTGTTAACAAGCTAGACGGGCCTATTCTCAGCAAAGAGGTATTTAAGTACTGAAGATGAAGTGAGATGGAAAATCCTATTTCCATAACAGAACAGGGAAAACAATCTGGCAGAAGGTGTTTTTCTTTTTTCTCTCTTTTTTTTTCCTGTTGAATTGTCAGAGCAATCATGGTGGAGCCGCAGTCAGAGCAGCAGACTAAAAGGAGAGGGCTTGGGGGGGTTTGGGGGGGGAGGGGTGGCGGCGGGGGTTGAGCCCTCTTTCCCAAAACACATACAAATGAACTTGAACAATTTCATGCTTGCACACGCACACAAGCACACACACACACACAGACACACACAAATAGAGCGGTGGATACACATATGCAGAGGGGCACAAACAGTGCCGTCTCAGTGGAGAAGACAGTGAGCACATTATGCAAACAGAGGCTTTGTGTGCACGCCGCTGAACGTGCCTGTGTGTTGGAGGAAGAAATTAGACTGATTAAAAATCAGGGGAAAATCACAAACTGTTAGATGGATCTCCTAGGGGCTAATTAGCATGTTGAATCCTCAGCCAAAAACACAATGTTTAACAAATCTGGAATTCGAGGTGTACTCACGGTTTGTTTTCTCAACTCTCTTTTAAAGGCTGGACGTGTTTTCATTTTAAATGCAAACCCGTGCTGCATTACTGCAAAGAAAACACGCCATGCGTTCCCGTGCCATCTTTTATTTTTCTTCCACACAATCAATTTACGTCAAGCTGAATGTGCAGTGCAATGTTTTTCCTGGGCTGTGAGTTATTGAGGTACTACGGTGGGGACAAAGAAGCGGAAGCCGGTCGCTCTGCAAGACTGAGATCAACGTTCGTACTGAAAAAACAGGTAAGAGCGAGAGTACATTCTGGTGCTTCAGGAGCAGGAAATGAACTATTGTTAGCGTTTCCATTGTGAGTTATGTAACAGAAGGGCTAGAGGAGACTGCAAAAGCAAAAATAAAATGACCCTCCTCACAAAACACAATAAATATTTAATTCAAGCTGAAGAATGGCCTATGCAATGTTTTGTCCTTGACCATAAGCTGAGCCCAGCGAAGATATTAGTTCAAGGGAGAGAAGAATAATCAGTGCACAAGCTGATTCGGTTCACCTTATAAAAAGAAAGTCTCAACAGCTCCCTGCTGGCTATCTATCTTTTATAAACTTTAGATTTTTAATGCACCTCCTATCAGCACAGTCAGCTAGCCCAGATGAATATATTCAACGACACACAGAGACAGCGAACAGAGGGAAATCTGTTTTATGTTTTGAGTACATGCAGAATTCTGGTTTAATATTTAAACCTTTTTGACAGTCTGGAGGTTTCAGTATACTTCTCAGTGTCAATCCCTCCTTGTACTCCCCATGTGAACGGGACAATGATCCCCAGTAAGTTTAATAAGCGGGACATGACCATCGATTGCCAGACATATAAGGCGCAGATGTGAAAAGCTTTCCACTTCCAGACATAATGCATTCAAAATTCTGTTTTAATTAGCCAACATTTTAGAATACAAATGAAATGGATGTAGAATTTGTAATTTTCGCTAGTTTATTCTAGCATTGCTGCAATAGATAGAGTGCAGATTCAACTCAACTGTGACTCCATTAAAGAATAAAAATGAGCTGTTTATTTTACAGCACTATTAATTCTCTGGTGCTGTGGTTGGAAGACTTGGTTGGTATTTCCAGAGAAATATGATGCTTGCAGTGAATTATTTCATTGGCTGCCTCAATTTTTGCTGGAAGCGTGTGTCTCTGTTGAAGCCCTATGGCGAGCAGCTCTCACAAAGAGCCTCGCGTAGAGCCACGAGCAATCCACAGGTTAACAAAGCACACTTGTGCCTAATGAGCCTGTGTGTGTGTGTGTGTGTGTGTGTGTGTGTGTGTGTGTGTGTGTGTGTGTGTTTGTGTGTGTGTGAGTAGAGGGCTGAGTACCAAACCAAGGGCACATGCCAGTACACAAGGATGGAAAATGTTAGACTTAAACCAACAGACGAACAATTAGTGGAAAATAACAACTATTGAGGTAGAAGAGCAGTGGTATAAACATCAATAGCATGGGCCTATTACCTTTAATTAATTATTTTCTGAAGGTTAATTAATTAATATCTGAAAGTTCTGCAGGAGAAGAAAGCAGCCCATGATGTGCACCACAACGGATCCGAAACACTCATGTGATGTGGGACGGACTTTGCCACCTCACGCCTCTCCTCGCTAAACGCCTTTCCTCACACCTACATGGAAACTGTCCCTTCTGCACCCGCAGTTTTCCACCAGGAACCCTGACAGAAGAACCACACTTAAGACGTGAGAAACCCACAGTGCTGAAAAACAAAAGAGCAGACGGTTATCTGCGCCTGACAGGGAATAAAAGACAGTGACAGTTAGACGGGAGTACAGCATGAAAGTAAATTATTTCACATGCCCTGTGGCTTGTACATACTGTCCGTTTCGCAGATATTCTCCCGGCCCAGCCGGCCACAGGTCTGCGTGTCCTCGGGGCACGGCAAATAACAAATCACTAGACAAAAGAGCAATGCAATCAGTCAACCCATGCTTTACATTTGCAACAAGTTAATGAAAATGTCACGTTGTACCTTCCAAGAAGATTGCATGACTGAACATAGGAGACGTAGGTTCGAGGGTTGCTGGCCCTCCACTGCCACCTAACAACACCGCCTGAACTGTTATTGGACGATAAAGTACCTCTCGTACCTTATTGCTTAAATAAAATATGTATTTACCCTTTTTTTACTGCATGTGTATGTGATTACAATGGACAAACCGAGACGCTATTATTTTTGAATGGGTTTAATTGAGATGTTTCTATGTTTTAATTTCTCGGAATGACTTGCTTTTCTCTTGCTGCCCTTTTGGCCAGTTTGTCATTGAAAACCGATTCTCAATTGACTTATTTGTAAAATAAATAGAAAATGGTCAGTTTATCCGGCCAGCTTCGTTGTCCTGGTTACAGCTGTTATTTCCATTTCTATGCAATTATACTGAAGGAGATGCCAAAAAGCTAGACAAAATTGGTGCATGTCTACATGGTGTCTAATAAAAAGTGTATTATGTTCTAGAAAACCCAAATCTGTATATGCACTAACAATGTTTGACTGATTTTACACAAGAACACCAAAAGAGCAACATCAATGTTGGATGGATGGTTGACATGTTCCACATGACAAACATTTGACAAAGACTGCAACACTGTGGCTGATTTAAGAAATGATTTGGCCATTATGTTGACCTGTTTATGAAGATGACTTTCTTCAGCTGAAGCAAATGGGCCAGAAGCTAAGTGCTACGGACGCAGATGAGAGACGTAGAAATACAATACAAAAGGTTTCTTGTTCCATCATTTTCGTGACCCAACGCTTTGAAGTGCCACAATCTTCCTTCAGTTCGTGTTTGGCAATAACATATTTTGCAAAAATACCCAAGGCGGATTTGTGGCGTCGTACCTGAGCACTGTCACAAGCTGTCAACACGAACATCTAGCTGAGAACTTTCTTGTCAGCCTGAATCACTTTCTCTGATGCTCCCTCATGTTCAGCGTCTCTCTCTCTCTCTCTTGGTTGAATGTTTCTTTTCAAAATGCTGCGCACAGCTGAATACCTTGGAATCTGTGTGGTTAAGCGTGTGTGGACAAACTGTCAGGAGTGCCGCTATGAATCAAAGTGACGCGTCTGACATACAAAAAATTCCTTCAAGATTTTGTGGATAAATGACTGATGATCTTCAAATCATAGTTGGTGTGAGTGTTGATAAAGCAGTCCAACCAGGCTGGGGGAATGGTTGCAGAAACCCACGTACGTATGTGTGCCCTCCAATGTTTTCTCTCCTTTGAAGAGCACGCAAACCTTTGCAACACCACAAGACATTTCAAATAAATTCTTCAGTGGCCTGTCAAATGCCCCCCCCCTCCTTCAACACCAGCGAGAGACTACCGTTATCTGCTATGAAATGGCCTCATTGTGCAGGGCATCAAGGATTTCCACGGCCCCATCTCCGGGTGTGCTCTGAACTGTGAATTTCAGATTCCGACAGCCCAAGGCCCAAGGCCATGAGCCGCCAGCAGTGCTGAAGCACTCTGTTGCTTCACACATCTGAAATTGGCTGACATGTTTAAGTTTGACGCACCTTTGCTCAATTTTTGTGTGATTGCTCTCTGGAAACCGTGCAGAGCCAAGTGACTCAAGACCTACATGTGTCAGGGCGATGAAGTTCCTCCTTCTCTAAATTTACTCTGCATTTCCAGAACTGCCATATATGCACATTTTGATGAGATTTACGGCACACGCAGAAAGGCTGCTAGACACATCAGCATGAAACATGGTAATCTAAAAGCAGATTTTTGACAGTTAGTTTCCCATCCGGTCTCAGTAACCCGTGGTGCTTTAATCCCTTAATATCTTACCAATAACTATTAAGGATTTAATGTCACTCGTACGTATTCCGGGGGTTTGACTTGATTCACTTTTTATGAACCCAGCACACAGCTGAGAATTTGTAGGCCAGTAAAATGTTATTAGTTCTGAGGCTGTCTAACAGAGAGTCAGGATGACCGTTTCTACCTGAGTTAGGATTCCCATGTCAAGAGAGCCTCTTTTGAATCCTTCTGTGCAATATGGGACTGAGACATGAGGTGATATTGAACTGTCACGTGGAAAATGAAAGAAAAGAAATGACCTTAATATCTTGTCTGAAATAAAGTTGAAACAAAAGAGTTTTAAAATTCCCTTTGGCGTTGAATGAAGATTTGTCATCCAAATGAATTGCATTCCGGTTGAGAGAAAAGCAGCCAGTGTGAGAGAATGTAGATCACACCAGCTGAGACGCATAAAACTCCACATTTCGGTCTCCTCAGAAATTCAGCAGTTAATTTTTCATGGACGTACCTTTTAAGAGACTTGTCAGTTTGATTTAATGCTGGGCTGACAGTTATTGGTTTTTGGGGTTTACCTCTTATCACTTCAGAAAAATGGGGAGGCCAATTTATACTCTGGATGCACATAAAGCTGCATCAAAAATTAAGATCTTGACGCCCTGGAAACCTCATAAAAGCTTTCTATAATACTGCCCTGTGTAATTTTGTGTATGTGTATTTGTGTGGGTGTGT